TATATAACACTTTGGTCAATGATGGACCACATATATGACAGTGGTCCCATAAGATAATACCATATTTTTATTGCACCTTTTGTGTGTTTAGTTACATAAATACTAAGTGTTGTATTACAACTGCCTACACTATTCAGCATGCAATATTCTGTATAGGTGTGCAGGCTAGGAGCAATAGCTACACCATATAACTGAGATGTATAGTAGCCTGCACTATCTAGGTATGCACACTGTGATGTTTGCACAGTGATGGTATCACCTAACGATGCATTTCTCAGAACGAATACCTGTCATAAAGTGATACATTCAAAAAAGTCTAGGGTCTATCCCTTTGCTTTTCCCTACACACTCACGGAGGTAAAAATTAAAAAAAAAAGTTCTCCTCTACACCCTTTTAAAATTTGTATTATTTCCATACTATTGTTTTTATTATTAACATAAACAAGTATATATATCCACTTACATCTCTACTTTCTTCTTAGGTGATTAGTAGCATACGACAAAATTCTCTCAAGCTTACTATTTTACTTAGTAATAAGGTCATTCCATAGAATTATATAGAGATAGTCTTCATTGCCTAGCTTTTGAATTTATACCTTAAAAGAAGGAATTAAAAATGTAAAAACATTATCACTAATAATTTCAAGGTCTTTACTTACGCCATGCTGAAAGAGGGTTTTGCATCCTGGTCAGATAAAGAAGCAATGGTGTGCTGAGGAAATCCTTCATAGAAGAAAATGTATTACTTTCTTTTTCCAAGCAAGGAGCAGAATTCTAGGACTAAGAACCTAAAAATGTTCTTATCGAAAAGCCAGTAAGGTTGTACAAAATATCACTTTCCTGCCTCTTAGATAAGCTTATTATAGCATGATGAAACTAATTCCAAGCTATAAGAAAAAGTAGAGGAAATGGGGGAAAGACCTATCTATATGTATGACTTCAAATTCTGAAATTCATATATATGTTTTCTTTTCTCTTTTTTTTTTTTTTTTTGAGATTTTTTTTTGAGATGGAGTCTTGCTCTGTTGCCCAGGCTGGAGTGCAGTGGTGCAATCTTGGCTCACTACACCCTCTGCCTCCCAGGTTAAAGCGATTCTCCCATCTCAGCCTCCCACATAGCTGGGATTACAGATGCCTGCCACCATGCCCAGCTATATATTTTCTGACTTAATAATGATTAACACTACTTTTTATTTTTATTTATTTATTTATTTATTTATTTATTTTTTGGGGAGACGGAGTTTCGCTCTTGTTACCCAGGCTGGAGTGCAATGGGGCGATCTCGGCTCACTGCAACCTCCGCCTCCTGGGTTCAGGCAATTCTCCTGCCTCAGCCTCCTGAGTAGCTGGGATTACAGGCACACGCCACCATGCCCAGCTAATGTTTTGTATTTTTAGTAGAGACGGGGTTTCACCGTGTTGACCAGGATGGTCTCGATCTCTTGACCTTGTGATCCACCCGCCTCGGCCTCCCAAAGTGCTGGGATTACAGGCTTGAGCCACCGCACCCGGCAACACTACTTTTTAAAGAGGTTGTACTTTTTACATCATTTCTGACACAACTGAAGCATATCATAGTACATCTTCATTTTATCTAAGTTTATACTTTTATGTTTAAAATTTTGGAATGCTCAAATCTTTCATGTAATGTTTTCTATTTATAATTTTAAATTCTGAAAACATGTTCAGGAAAAGCAAAAACCATTTTTAAAAAGAGTTAATACATAAAAATTTTAAATGTATCTACATATCAAAACAAATAAATAAAAGTAAAGGCAAATAACCAACTAGAAAAATATTTGCATCAGGTAACTGAGAAAGGGCTAATATTCCTAAAGGACTCTAACAAATAAATTATAAATTTAAATAACTTTAAAATGGTATAAGAAAATATATCAGTAAATCAAAAAGATTAGCCAACATAATAGCCAAAATGTATTGAATGTTTACATTAAGCATTATTCTAAATGCTTCATCTGTATTAACTCAATCCTTGCAAGACACAATAGATACTGACATCATTAAACACATGAGAAGACAGTGGAAAAGAGAGGTCGACTAGTAATACAAAAGGCCAAAAACAAAGTAGAAAAGCATTCTACTTCACTGACATTTTAAAATATATATATTAAATAAGGAGGTTCTTTTTCTATTTAAAAGTTATACCTTTCTTCAATATAAAGGTAATACGTTTTCACTTGATCTTAGCCAAAAGGCCGAGAAGCGATGTGTAATACATTTTCATCACAACATTTTTGTCAAATAGAAGAAAATTTTTTTTTTTTTGAGAAGGAGTCTTACTCTGTCGCCAGGCTGGAGTGCAGTGGCGCGATCTCAGCTCACTACAACCTCCACCTCCCTGGTTCGAGTAATTCTCCTGCCTCAGGCTCCCGAGTAGCTGGGATCACAGGTGCATGCCACCACATCCAACTAATTTTTGTATTTATAGTAGACACGGGCTTTCACCATGTTGGCCAGGATGGTCTTGATCTCCTGACCTCGTGATCCACCCACCTAAGTCTCCCAAAGTGCTGGGATTACAGGCGTGAGCCACCGCACCCGGCTGAAAACAAAATTTTTAAAAAGTGAGCCAAAACCAATCATTTCCCCTCCTTTGAGCAATTTGGTGTACTTCCCTGCAAGCTTTGTCTTTGCACAGTTTGTATTACACAGCTTTGATCAGACAGTACAGTACAGAGGATTTTGTAGCTTATTTTACTTTTTTTTTTTTTTTTTTGAGACAGAGTCTTGCTCTGTCACCCAGACTGGAGTACAGTGGCGTGATCTCAGCTCACTGCAAACTCCACCTCTTGAGTTCAAGCAATTCTCCAACCTCAGCCTCCCAAGTAGCTGGGACTACAGATGCCCACCATCCTTCCCTGCTATTTTTGGTATTTTTAGTAGAGACAGGGTTTCACCATGTTGGCCAGGGTGGTCTCAAACTCCTGACCTGAGGTGATCTACCCACCTTGGCCTAAGTGCTCAGAGTACAGGCATGAGCCACTGCACCCAGCCTTTGTAGCTTATTTTAAAAATTTCTTAATATAAGCATTTTTCTATAAACACAGTTGATACCTTTCTAGCCTTAAAAATAAAGAAAGTGAACAGTGTTCTCTTGGTGACAAGACTACTGGTAGTTTTAATACGTTTCCTTTTTTCTTTTTAAACTTCTCTGTGCTTTCCAAAATTGCTTCAACAAGCATATTTTTTCCTAAAAAAATTATTAAATGTTAAAATAACTTGTGCAAAAACAAAAATAGCATAGTTTGAGCCAAGATATATATTTTTTAAAAAAACATAAGAACACTTACCCATACGAATAAGCGAGCATTCAGAACTTGAGCTAGCAGGAGGAGGACTAACGTGATGTGTAAGTAATTCTTTGTAATGGCTTTCATCTAAAATAACATGGTATGTGCCTAACAAGATGAAAAGAAAAAAAAAAAAAACAGCTTTGTAGACATAATGAAGTATATGCTCTATGTAATTCTTGTAAAAGTTTTATCATCTGAAAATGTAAATTTTCAAAATAATAATTTTAGTTAAATCATCACTTTTAAAACCTTATTTAAATAATATATCTAAATCAACTTCTCTAGGAATAACTGTAATTATAATTTATTATTATTACTATTATTATTTTAACATATAAATAGAGACAGGTCTCAGTATGGTAACCAGACTGATCTCAAACTTCTGGCCTCAAGTGATTCTCCTGCCTTGGCCTACCAAAGTGTTGGGATTACAGGCATGAGCCACCATGCCTGACTTGTAATTACAATTTAATTAAAGGCAAGTTACAAAATCTTTATAAAGTAAAACATACAGTAAAACTTCCAGTTTTCCAAAAGTTATAATACTTCCTCTAAATACTGACAGAAGTACTGAAAACTCTTTGCATTTTGAGATGATTTCTTATAGAATTAATTACATATTTAAGATGACTGACCATATTTTAGACTACTTTAATAGCTCACAACAGATTAAAACATCCTAATTTAATAAATTTCCTACACAGTAATTATGAGTAAATATTAAAGATATTAGATACATACCACCAGTTTCACGAGCAAGTACAGTGCAAACTCGAACCTCTGCAGACAATCCAATAACAGATACTCTAATTTTAGCTGCCTTTAGGGTCTTCATAAAATCCAAGCAGATGGATAGTTTTAGGAAAGAAGAAAAACATTTAAGAATTAATGTATTTGAAAAATAAAGAATGCTCCAAAAACTAGTGATAAATTCACTATATCTACCACAAAGATGGATCACACACACACACACACAATATATATATATATATATATATATATATATATATATATATATATATATATAAAATTGCTGTAGAATTCTCTTTAGAGTTGTAACTTTGGTTTTGATTTTTTGGTCTACCTTGATTAGATCATAAATATTAGATGGATCACAAGTTGTAAGGCTGCTGAAGATGATTAGTACTTCTCGACTTGTATGTCCGGGCATATGTCTTAAAAGAAAGATAAAATACACTGCAATTAGATGAAACAAATTACACTACCAAAAAATTTACCCAGAAAGAATGGTATACATAGGATTACACATTTAGGCTATAGCATACCTCATTTGTTTCAACAATGCAAGGAAAGGTTGTGAGACTATTTTAAATACTTTAATGTCAGTTTTTCTAAAATGAGCTACGTACTTAAAAAAATTATTAATTGATCACTTGACTAGCCTTAAAAAAAAATTATTGGCCGGGCGCGGTGGCTCAAGCCTGTAATCCCAGCACTTTGGGAGGCCGAGGCGGGTGGATCACGAGGTCAAGAGATCGAGACCATCCTGGTCAACACAGTGAAACCCCGTCTCTACTAAAAATACAAAAAATTAGCTGGGCATGGTGGCGTGTGCCTGTAATCCCAGCTACTCAGGAGGCTGAGGCAGGAGAATTGCCTGAACCCAGGAGGCAGAGGTTGCGGTGAGCCGAGATCGCGCCATTGCACTCCAGCCTGGGTAACAAGAGCGAAACTCCGTCTCAAAAAAAAAAAAAAAATTATTAATTGATTCATTTAATAAACATTTACTGAGCACTCTCAAGTTCTGGGGATAGAGTGATAAACAAGGTTCCCAGCATCATGAAGCTTACATTCTAGTAGGTTTGTTTCATACAAAGTCTAAAGTATACACTAATACAACAGTATCACATGGATAAACTTTAAACTAAAATGTGGCAATATCACATGGATCAGCTTTAAAGTGTATAAATGTGGCTTAAAAATAGTAACACACACCTCTTTCTCAAACACTATATAGTAGTCCCCTCTTACCTGCAGAGGATACATTCCAAGACCCCCAGTGGATACCTGAAATCAAGGATAGTACTGAACCTTATATATACAGTCGTCCTCCAGTATCCTTGGGGAATTGATTTCAGGCCCTCCTATGGAGACCAAAATCTGCTCAAGTCCCAGATACAAAATGGTGTAGTAGGCTGGGCGTGGTGGCTCATGCCTGTAATCCCAGCACTTTGGGAGGCTGAGGCGGGCGGATCACTTGAGGTCAAGAATTCCAGACCAGCCTGACCAACATGGAGAAACCCTGTCCCTGCTAATAATGCAAAAGTTAGCTGGGCATGGTGGCACATGCCTATAATCCCAGCTGCTCAGGAGACTGAGGCACGAGAATTGCTTGAACCCAGGAGGCAGAGGTTGTGGTGAGCAGAAAGGGCACCACTGCACTCCATCCTGAGTGACACAGCAAGACTCCGGCTCAAAAAAAAAAAAAAAAAAAAAAAAAAAAAAAAGGCATATTTGCATATAACCTACGCACATCCTCCCATATATTTGAAGTCATCTCTAGATAATTGATAACACCTAATACGATGTATGCTATGTAAATAAGTGTTATCCTCTATTGTTCAGGGAATAATGACAAGAAAAAAATGTCTATTTGTTCAGTACAGGTACAATTTTTTTTCCAAATATTTTTGATATGTAGTTGACTGAATTCACAGAAGCAGAATCCAGGATTTGGAGGGCTGACTATACCATGTTTTTCCCTACACAGGCATACCTTGGAGATACTGTAGGGCTGGTTCCAGACCACAGCAATAAAGCAAATATCACAATAAATATTTGCAATAAAGTAAGTTGCATGAACTTTCAGGTTTCCTAGTATATATAAAAGTTCTATTTATACTGTAGTCTAATAAGTGTGCAACAGCATTATATGTAAAAAAAAAAAAAAAAAAGTACATACCTTAATTAAAATTACTTTATTGCTAAAAATGCTAAAAATCAACTGAGCCTTCAGTGAATAATATCTTTTTGTTGGTGGGGGGTCTTGCCTTGATGTTGATGGCCACTGACTGATCAGAGCGATACTTTCTGAAGGTTGAGATGGCTGTGGCAATTTCTTAAAATAAGACAAAGTAGTTTGCCACGTGGGTCAACTCTTCCTTTTATGAAAAATTTCTCTATGGCATGTAACCCTGTTTGATAGCATTTTATTCACAATAGTTACCTTTCATTCCTCTGAAACCCCACTGATGCTTTACCAACTAAGTTTATGGGATATTCTTTTTTTTTTTTTTTTTTTTTGAGACAGACTCTTGCCCTTTCACCCAGGCTGGAGTGCAGTGGCATGATCTCAGCTCACTGCAACCTCTGCCTCCTGGGTTCAAGCAATTCTCCCGCCTTAGCCTCCCTAGTAGCTGGGATTACAGGCATGTGCCACCACGTCCAGATAATTTTTGTATTTTTAGTAGAGGTGGTGTTTCACCATGTTGGCCAGGCTGGTCTTGAAATCCTGAGCTCAAGTGATCCACCCACCTCAACCTCCCAATGTGCTGGGGTTATAGGCTTGAGCCACCACAGCCAGCCAGTGTAGGTATTTTGACCACCTTCCATGAATGGCATTTCGAATGGCAAATCCTTTCCAGAAGACTTTCAATGTACTTTGCCCAGATCCATCTATGGCAGTCAGAGCCTTATGATATGTATTTCTTAAATAATCAAGATTTGAAAGATCAAAGTATTCCTTTATCCAAGGGTTGCGGAATGAATGCTGTGTTAGTAGGCATAAAAATAACATTAATCTCCTTGTACATCTCCACTGCAGTTCTTGGGTGACTGGGTGCATTGTCAATGAGCAGTAATATTTTGAAATAAATCTTTTTTCTGAGATAGATCTCAACAATGGGCTTAAAAATATTCAGTAAGCCATGCTGTAAACAGACATCCTACCATCCGGGCTTTGTTATTCCATTTGCGGAACATAGACTGAGTAGATTTAGCATAATTCTTAAGGACTCTAGGATTTTCGGAATGGTAACAAACATTGGTGTCAACATCAAGCCACCAGCTGCATTAGCCCCTAACAAGAGAGGAAGCCTATCCCATGAAGTTCTGAAACCAGGCATTCACTTTTTCTAGCTATGAAAATCCTAGACAGCATCTTCTTCCAACAGAGGGCTGTTTTATCTACACTAAAAATATGAGGTCAGGTGCAGTGGCTCACACTTGTAATCCCAGCACTTTGGGAGGCTGAGGCAGGAGGATTGCTTGGGCCCAGGAGTTCAAGACCAGCCTGGGCAACATGGTGAACCTACCTCTACAAAAAAACAAAAAATTAGCTGGGCATGGCATGGTGGCACATGCCTGAAGTCCCTGCTACTTGGGGAGCTGAGGTGGGAGAACAGCTTCAGCCTGGGAGTTTGAGGATGCAGTGATCCATGATCGTACCACTACACTCTAGGCTGGGTGACAGCGAGTGAGACCCTGTCTCAAGAATAAACAACAACAAAAAAGAAAATGATATTTAGTGTAGCCATCTTCATCAATTATCTTAGCTAGATCTTCTGGATAACTTGCTGCGGCTTCTACATCAGCACTTGCTGCTTCCTCTTGCACTTAGAGATGGCTTCTTTCATTAACCTCATGAGCTCAGTTCTGTTAGCTTCAAATTTTTCTTCCGCAGCTTCCTCACTGCTCTCAGCCTTCACAGAATTGAAGAGAATTAGGGCCTGGCTCTGGATTAGGATTTGACTTAATGGACTATTGTGGCTACTTTAATCTTCTATCCAGACCATTAAAACTTTCTCCATATCAGCAATAAAGCTGTTTCACTTTCTTATCATTCATGTGTCCACTAAAGTAGCACTTTGAATTTCCAATATTTTTTTTTCCCATTTATTTTATTGCATTTTAGGTTTTGGGGTACATGTGAAGAACATGCAAAATTGTTGCATAGGAACACACGTGGCAGTGTGATTTGCTGCCTTCCTCCCCATCACCTACATCTGGCATTTCTCCCCTTGCTATCTCTACCCAGCTTCCCACCCCCCACCGTCCCTCCCCTATTTCCCCCCAACTGACCCCAGTGTGTAGTGCTCCCCTCCCTGTGTCCATATTTTTTAAATTTTTTTGAGACAAGATCTTGCTGTATCACACAGGCTAGAGTATAGTAGCATAATCATAGCTCACTACAGCCTTGAACTACTGGGCTCAAACCTCCTGCCTCAGCCTCCTGAGAAGGTAGGACTACAGATGCTTGCCACTGTGCCTGACTATTTTTGTTTGTTTGTTGTTTGGTAGAAATGGTGGGGGGGAGTCTTGTTATACTACCAGGGCTGGTCTCAAACTCATGGCCTCAGGTGATCCTCCCCCCTCAGCCTCCCAAAGTGTTACAATTACAGGTAAGAGCCACCATACCCGGCCCAGCACTTTTAATTTCCTTCAGGAACTTTACCTTTGCATTCACAATTTGACTAAGTGTTTAGCACAAGAGACACAGCTTTCAGCCTATCTTGCATTCTGACATGCCTTTCTCACTAAGCTCAATCATTTCTAGCTTTTGATTTAAAGTGAGACATGCGACTCCTCCTTTCTCTTGAACACTTAGAGGCCACTGTAGGGTTATTGGTGTAATTCCAATATTTTTGTGTCTTAGGGGTTAGGGAGGCCCAGAGGAGGGAGACTGGGAAATGGCCATTTGGTAGAACAGTCAGAACACACATAACACTTATCAATTATGTCTGTTGTCTTATATGGGCCCAGTTTGTGATGCCCTAAAATAATTACAATAGTAACATCACAGATCACTGTTAACAGATATAACAATAATTTACAAAGCTTGAAATATTCCAAGAACTACCAAAGTGTGATATAGAGGCATGAAGTGAGCACATACTGTTAAAAAAAAATAGCACCAATGGACTTACTCAACACAGAGTTGTCATAAACTGTCAGTTTGTTTAAAAAAAACAAAACAGTTATCTGAGAAGTCTAATAAAGCAAAGTACAACAAAATGAGGTGCGCCTGTACATAAATACCTATGATCAAGTTTAATGTATAAATCAGGTACAGTAAGAGATGAACAACAATAACTAAATAGAACAATTATAACAATATGCCAGCATCACTACTCCTGCACATTGGGGTCATTATTAAGTAAAATAACACAAACACTACAATAGTTTGACAGTCAGTAACAACAGTTAATCTGATGACTTAGGCCATTACATGGGTGGGCAGCATATACAGTATGGATCTGCAGGAGCAAAGGGTGATTCACGTCCTGGGCAGGGCAGAGAGGTAAGGTGTAGGATTTCATCATACTACCCAGAATGGCACGCAACTTAAACCTTATAAATTATTTATTACTGAAATTTTCAATATTTTTCAGACCAAGAGTAACTAAAACTATGGAAAGTGAAACCGCAGATAAGGGGGGATTACTGTAATTTAACCTCATTGTAATTTAACCTCATAGTACTTCAGAGTCATAATAATCATAAACATTAATCTTGTATACCGTTTAACTAAAATGATAGCTTGTGGATTTGTGGTGACCAGTTTTCAGTTATACTAATTAGTGGTTTCTATGCTTTCCGCAGCAAGTTTATCAGTTAGTTATTGCTTTTCTGTTTATATTTTGTTATTTTCTCAGCTCTTACTGGTAGACCCTGCTACTGTACTTACCTCTACTACATGTGTTACCTCATTCTCATCCACTTCAAAACTATCTATCATGTAAAGGTATAAGGTCTGAGCCAGGGCAGACTATCCAGAGATAAAACATATAAGCTTTAGGGATGCTAAGGCGGGTGGATCGCTTGAGGCCAGGAGTTCAAGACCAGCCTGGCCAACATGGTGAAACTCTATCTGTACTAAAAATACAAAAATTAGCTAGGCATGGTGGCATACACCTGTAATCCCAGCTACTAGGGAGGCTGAGGCACAAGAATCGCTTGAACTCAGAAGGTGGAGGTTATAGTGAGCTGAGATCGTGCCACTGCACTCCCACCTGGGTGACAGAACAAGGCTCTGTCTAAAAAAAAAAAAAAAATACACATGAGCTTTAACTATACCAAGTATTTCCTTTGGGGTCTTAGCTTTATTCCATATAGCTTAACTTGCCATGCAAGAGTGCTATTAATTTATAGTTATATTAGTTTGGTTCAAAAGTAATTGTGGTTTTGACCATTACTTTCAAAATAAATTAATAAATGTTAATAAAGGTTCAACCAACTTACAATTATTATACTACACTAAATCTCATTTTAATAAAATTTTTTTCAACATATTTCTTTTGTACTATTGATACTGCATACAGTTTTAAATTATACTTTTATAAAACCTTTAACAATATCCTACTAACATGTAAAATAGGCCGGGCGCGGTGGCTCACGCCTGTAATCCCAGCACTTTGGGAGGCCGAGGCGGGTGGATCACGAGGTCAAGAGATCGAGACCATCCTGGTCAACATGGTGAAACCCCGTCTCTAC